GCTACCACTACCCACCCAATTTTTGCAGGTGAGAAAATGAGCACAGAAAGATTTAGCTACTTGCCCAAAGTCACAGAGATACTTGAAAAAAATTCAACATAGGAGTCCACAAAAGTTCTAGGAATAAATTCAGTTTCTGAAAGATGTCTGCTCACTACCCAGGCCTAAGTAAAGAAGCTCCTGATTCATAAAGCAAAGTACTGAAAATAGAAATTGTTGATATTGGAAAGTGTAGATAATTAATCTGCATCCTTCCATTGATAAATAAAGTGAAACATTTATTTTAAAAATCCTATGAAGGAAATTATGTGATTTAATGAAAATGGCATTAGCTCCAGACACTGAGCACTTGAATCCCAGACCAGCCTCTTTCAACTAACCTCAGGTAGGTACCCCAGCCACCCCTCACCTGGGCTTACTTTATGACCCACAGCTTGCCTCTTGACAGGCCCTGGGAGGACCTCACCTGAGCCATGCATTCAGGAGCTGCTCAGAAAACAATAGTCTCTTCTCCTTTAGGTTAAAAAATGTATCACGCTTAAAGGAGCCTTTTAAGGTTGCCAAGAATAAAGTCCAAAATTACAGTAACTTCCACAATCCAGTAAGAACAACCTAGTAAGAAAAAAAAATAGGCAAACGATGTGAACAGGTAATTCACAGAAGCTAAACTATAAATTAGCATGAAAAGGCCTTCAATATTTTTGGCAATTTGGGAAATAAAATTAAAACAGTAATGTCTTCTTTGCCCATTAGACTGGCAAAATTAACAGTTAACAAAATTAACTGGCAACTATATCTATCCCAGTCAAAGGGAAACAGTTTCACTCACTAATGGAATAAGTACAATCTGATAAAGTCGGCGGGTGGGGGGGGGGGGCAATTTGACAAAAATATCAATTTAAAATTACACTCTGTCCCAGAAATTATACTTCTGGGGATCTAGAAGACTGAAATATTTTTGAGCATTAACACTGATATGTTTCAAGGATTCCTCACTGATTTTATAGCAGAAATCTGGAAGCAATCTTAAATGTTCAGTAATAAGAGATGATTAAATAAACTGCACACATGGTACTCTAGAATGTATCTCTACTCCCCACAACACAAAGGAGGACAAACTTCTCATGTCAATATGCACAGATATTAGGAACAGAGCGTTAAATTTGAAAAGCAAATCACAGAAAATTTTGTGTAATGTGACTACACTTGTTTACAATTAAAGCGTTTGTCTACTGACAAGATCCAGAAGCAAGGGCACTTCAGCAGCAATGAGCACACCTAATGCCTGATACACCTGGGTTTTTACACCACTCTATTAAATGGAACTAAGGCTCTTAGGAGAAATGGCTAGGGCAAGGAAAACATAAGCTAAAGTCTTGATTTTGTGCCAGAAAGAAAAGAAATCCTCAAAGAACCATAGGGACATTTCAAAAGGACATACAATCCAGCTGAAAGGGCTCCCCCTGGCCAAATCTGAGACAATTAGAGCAACAAATGAGTAATGGGAGTAACAGTCTATAATCCATTGAATAAAGCAAGAATTCTTAAATCCAGGGATGCAAATCAAGAACTAAATAAGATAGAAAAGTTCCATTCAGTACAATTCCAACTAATAAATGTAGAAGAAAATATGGAATTAGAAAATCACCATCTGTCAACAATCGTAAAAAATGATTCAAACAAGAAGCATCAATGGGTTCTAAAACTAGTAGGTAAAAATATGAGTAACAGTATACTAACATAGTCTCAAATTCTCTCCCTATGAGATACATATTGATTACAACAGGAAAAATGAAAAGTTTTCAATGAGGCAGACACCATCTGAGTCAAATGATCAGAGTTAACAAGGCCAGTGAATGGGATCACGGACAGCATTATCCTAACCGGACACGCTAACAAGACAGCAGCATCAAGCCTGCGCTGTTCCTGCCAGAACTGCATAACCTGAATCTAATCATGAGAAAACCACAGGAAATCCAAATTGAGCAGCATTATCTAGAAAACAGTCAGTAGTCTCCAAATATGTCAACGATATGAAATACAGACTCAGGAACTTCTTCAGACTAAATGAGTTGATACAGACAAAATAATTTAATGCAATAAATGAGCTAGGATTTTCTTTTGCTATAAAGGACATTTTGGGGGGCAACTGGTAAGATCTGAATAAAACCTGTATATTAAATAATCGCATTCTATCAATGTGATTTTTAATAATTTCACTGCTGTTATGTAAGAGAATGTCCTTGTTTTCAGGAAATACACAATAAAGTATTTAGAGGGAAAAGGGCATTAGGTCTGCAACTTACTATTAAACAGTTTGTAAAAAAGTCATACATGGGGGCTAGGGCTGTAGTTCAGTGGTAGAGTGCTTGATAGCAAGGTGAAGCACTGGGCTTGATCCTCAGCACCACATAAAAAATAAATAAGTAAAATAAAGTTATTAAAAAAATTTCAAAAAGAAATCCATGAATATGAGAGAAAGACAAAAGACACAGCAAAATGCCAACATTAGGAGAATCTGGATGAAGGGTACCTAAGAATTCTCATTATTCTTGCAACTTTTCTGAGTGTGCAATCATCAAAATTCAAAAAATAATTTAAGAGAGCAAGGTGTGTATATGCATAGAAATATAGGGGATTTCCTGGGGATTAGGTTCATGGTGACATCTTCCTTAAAAGCACAAAAAAATCAGAAAATAATGAAGTAAGCTTGCATAGGGGTTAATACTTATCTCTCCAAAATATGCTCTGCACAATGAAAAAAAAAAAAAAGCTGTTTTTAAAGATCTTTCAAGACCAGCTCATTAATCATGTTCTACAAAAGAAGCACCAACATAATCAAGCCTTCTTCACCACAGATCTGTGCTATTTTTTTTTTCCTCTGAAAGTCAAAGCTTCCTGATACTATGAGTAGTTGAAGATGCTGTGGGGACTTTTCTGGAATATGTAAGCTAAAAAGGAGTTTTTCATTAAAAAGCAAACAGGATAAAACAGACTTGGTAGAATTCTTGAGATGCTAAGCCAAGGGGTAGGAATGGGGGTTAGCTGGTTGCAGTCTACTCTAACAAGGCTCCCAGGTAGGCAGCTGGCTAAAAGGACTCGTGGGGTCCATAGTTCTCTATCATATGCATCCCAATTCTCTGGTGTCCTACTGCTTACAAAAAGCTCTCATGGGTATAATTTATTTCACCATTTCCTTAAAGTGACTTTTTTTTTAAAACTCCAATATTTATTTACCAGCAATACTACAAAATAGCCAGTTTCCAAAACAATAGTATTAACTATAATCTAAGACGTCGGCACTGCACACTGCATCTACTTGGGGACAGAGTTTAACCTGAGCAAATAAATACCCTGAGATGGAAGACACCAAATGAAAAGGAGCTAGAAAGGTAAAGTAGGAAGGTAAGTACAATAAATTATATTGCAGAGCTCAGCATAAACACTGCCCTCCTTTCTCTTTGAATCTGACCAGAATCCATTCCTCTAAGCCCTGTCTTTGAGTCAGACCCTCCCAGTAACTTTGGCTCATTGCTACAGAACATATTTACAAGACACTACAGGGAACAAGGCCTTGGGAGGCTCTGTTCACATGCAACACCACCCTGAGAACAGCATCATTCATGGTCTCCGACACCAATACTCCCACAGAACCGCCATACTGACCTCCCCATGTGGGCACTATTTTTCACTTTCCTTAAAGAAATCAATGAATTGAATCTTCCAGGAGTAAATATTTCAGGAAAAAAAAAAAAAAAAACAACCAAAGGCCCTAATCTATATCCAAAGACAAACTCCCTGTAAAAAAAAAAAAAAAAAAAAAAGGCTGTTTGCAACCAAAGAAAAATTAGGATTAATTCTAGGACAACCAACAACTAATCTATGTGCATTGACCAATACCAAAAGAATCCAGGTTTAAAAACAAACTCAGTAAGAGATTCTGTTTTCACCTTTTAGAGAAGAGAACACCAAGATATAGAGTTAGCTAGTAGCAGAACCAGAATTCACACCCAGATCACCTGCTCTGTCCCCATCCCCCACTTGTGTCCCTGCAGTCCACACAATCCACTTGAACAGGGGATGAACCAAGCATAATTTCACTGCAACATCCTAACTGCCAAATCACCCCCCATTCCCTTGTTTTAGATGTCCTAATGGGCAGGTGACAAATCACATTCTATCCCTCCCCAGCCTCCCAACACAAAACACATTCAGAGGCAAAGCAAAAGACAAGATGATGAGCTTTACAACCGCCTATACTTCCTTCTTACCCAGAGGAATATGTTCATGAGCTGTCAACTGGGGCAGGAGGAACCCATCATTATGTAATGTCAGAGGGCAGGCAACAAGGGGCAGGGAAGCCGAGCCTATCAATGCTCCCGTCCTTTGCCCACAAAGATATAAATTTACCTTTGACAATGTGAGTGTCTCAGTTTTCTAGGGCCTACACGTTCAAGACTGGCTTTTCAAAAGACAGCCACAAATTCCTGCAAATCTCTCAGGCCTCAATTAACTGACTAGCAAAGCCAGAAAGGCATAAAATATGAAAAGCAAAGATTAGAGATGTCGAGGACTACAAGTCTGCAGAAAAGGGAAGAGGAGTTGCAAGGATGGAGACCCAATTTCCCACCCTGAGATGCATGTTTATTTTTACCCGGTAATGTTTACACCCGAAACACAGCGAGGCCTTCAGCGTGGGGAGTCACTGGATGCGGCCCCAAGACAAACGAGGCAGGCGCCGCGACACCGGCACGGTGCGCCGCATCCTGCATCCCCAAGCTCCCAGCCGACCCTCCGGAGCCAGGGTCGCCCCTGCTCGGATTGTTCTCAAAAGACGCCACCGCTGGCGAACCGCTAGGCTGTGCGATTTCCATGACAACCACGGGCGCCGTCCGGGTCCGGCTGTCCAGGTACCGGGACTGGACCCCGCGCCCGTTGCCCAGCCCCGGCCTCGGCCCCGCAGACGCCGCGTCGCCCCGGGTCCCGCCCGGCTCACCTACCTGGTGTGCCCCGGCCCGCGGCGCCCGCCGCCCAGCTATGCCCGGTTCTCCGTCAGCCGGGCGCGCGCCCGGCCCCGCTGCAACAGCAGCGGCACCGCCTGACTGAAGTGGCAGGTTTCGAGCCCCACCTCAGGTGCGTATCCCCCTGCCCGCGTCCGCGGCGCCCGCCCCAGCCGCGAACCTGCTGCCCGCGCGCAGCCCAAGCCCGCCGCCGGCGCCGGCACCGTAGCTCCGGACGCCGAGCGCGGCCCCGCCCCGGCCCCGCCCCCGGCCGCGCAGGCGCGCCGCAAGCCTCAGCCGGCCAAAGCCCCGCCCCTGGCTGCTCCAGGCTTCACAGATCTCACCCTCCTCTGTACCCGCGTCGCCTGCGAGGAGTTCTTCAACTTCCGGACCTACAGATGGCGTTTTTACCCTCAGCGACACTGAGGCTTTTGAGGCCTGACACGTCGCCGAGGAGTAGGTTCCTGAGAGGAGCCGCGACCCGGCGACGTGCTCAGGCGATTAGCGCGCTCCCGAGGTGCAGATGTGGTGGCTTCCTCTGAGACGTTTAGCAACGTGAACGGTCCAATCAGAAACGTGCAAAAAATAAATAAAATAAAAATCACAGTTCTTGGAAAATACAGATTTGCAAAAAGAAGAGGTTGCTGATATTTGAGTGTGTGTCCTTCCGGACCTGCCTGGCATATGTGCATAAATGTGCATTTATAGACCCCCAACTGATATCAGTTACTTCTCCCATGAAATTCTTTTTTCCATAGGAAAACAAAATAGAGCTGTAAAAAGTTTGGGAAGAAATGTTTCACTTTGATACGACTTTAAATCTTAACATTTCTGTTTGAGCAAGGTAAATACTGGACTGAACATAAACAGTTAATTTCTCCTGGAGTCTTTACATCTTTGTTTTGTTTTCCCTCCCCTGATTACTTGAGTCATTACATTTTATCAGGGGGAAAAAAATCTTTCTCCTTAAAAACTGTTAAATGAAAACTGTTTTTTAAAATTTTATTTTAGTTGCTGATGGACCTTTTTAAAAATTATTTATTTTATATGTGGTGCATGAGATTCAAATCCAGTGCCTCACCCATGCTGGACAAGCACTCTACCACTGGTCCACAACCCCAGCCCCATTTTAATTCAATAAATCAAAATACTTTGCAGTCAGTGTTCACATCTCAGGTATAAAAACAAGTAAGCATTTATAATTTGCCTCAAAAATGAAAGATATTACTCTGTTAGAAATTAAACAAGAATTCTCTGAAATCATTTAGATTTAGGTCTGATCCTCCCCATGCAACCAAAATTCAAATGCATATGATACTCTGCAACAAAAATAAATAAACATAAAACTAACTTTGAATCTTTCTTTTTCAATGTTTTATTTTATTTCTCTTCTGAAATATAACCCACTAACAAAATACTTACCTTTTGTTATTCTAATAAACAGAAGGAAATACTGACAGAACTTTGACCCTAGTACAAAATTAAAGCCAAGAGAATCTAAGGAGCTGGTAGAAATATTTTTTTTCATATTTTATTTTGTAAAATTAGTGTGACCAATACACCTGGTTTTCCTGGGCCAGCCCCAGTTTGCATCTTTTTTTCCAGTAATAATTTTACTGGAAATGCTCCTTTTCACTCTCAAAAGTATTCCAGTTGAAGCATTTTATGGTCAGGCTATTTATAATTCAGTTAAGAGAGTTTTAAATTCAGAAACTTTAAAAAGAAGAAAGAACCTAATTTAAATTCACATTTAAAAATAGAAATCAGTCTAATGTCAACATTCATTCACTTAGCACAGTAACAAACTCTGAATGAAAATCAGTCTTCCAATAATATTTGTCACTTAATTGTTGTGTAATTCCGAATAACCTTAAAAGATCAGTTGTGTTTCTGGTGTGACATTTCCACTGTAGAATGAACTTATCAAAGGAAAGGGAGCCAAGTATGTTAGTTAAGTGCATTAACAAGATGGATAATGAGCAGTGTGCTGGTGGCACAGTATCTCAGTCCTTCAGAAGTTCTCAGCATGGGTGCCCAACCAGTCCTTAGTATTCTCTAGGAGTTTGCTGGAAATGCAAAGTTCCAGACCCCACCCCAGAGCTGTTGAATCAGAATCTCTGAAAGTGGGGCAATCTGTATTTTAATGCAGATTGGGGCAATACTTTCGAGGAGATCTGATGAGCATACGGACCATGGGTACACTCACACACACCATGGGTAAGCTGATTTAGGTGATCTATATACAATAACTAAGAGCTGAGCAGTGTGATCTGCAGGACTAGTACTGAAGGGAAAGTGAGGAATGAGACACGGGTAAACGAGAAATGACAGACCAGGCAGAGATACACACGAGAGTTCATTTGTCAGAGCTGACAAAGGCCATCTCTCTACAGGAGAGGGAGGCAAAACAGGCTTGGGTTCTGGGATTTTTATAGGGCACACTCAGGAATCAGAGCCAGGCATGTCCTAATGCGGATGGTTAAGGCTTGGGTTGGTATGAGGGAGTGGTGAGCCTTTCTCAGAAAGGCCCTTGGGCAGGAAAGCAAAACTTTTTCCTTAAAATGGCGGCTGTCACTTAAGATGGCAGTCCAGATGCTAATCAAGGGCCTTATAAGGACCATCCTACAAGAGAGTTCCTCTTCAGCACTGAAACATGATGTTTATATGTACATATGGTTTCATTAGACTTTGAACAAGCAATATACAAAGGCTAAGGAAAAGCTATAAATTGCCTGCCTGACAATTGAAGGAATGCACACAGAGCCCCCCATTTAAACACAGGAAGAGGAAATCTTTGATTCCAGCATTTGAGGAAATGTTTGCCTGATCATTTGTGAACAATTGATCTGACGAGCAAAGACTACAAATGACTACAGTGACATATCAGTGGGTACAGATGATAAAGAATATAGATTTCACAGAATTAGCTCAAGGGAGTCACTAAACAAGCAAAAAACAACAAGAACAAACAGTAACAACACATCCTGGGAAAGAAGAATAAATATGATTTCCAGAGTTACCACGGCATAATATTTAAAATGTCTGTTTTTTAAAATAAAAATAAATAAATAAGTTATAAGGCACATATACAGGAAAGGACACAGGCTTAATGGTAGTTGATAGACCATTCCTGAAAAGCACAAATGTTAGACTTACTAGACAAAGATTTTAAATCAGCTATTACGGATACATTCAAAAAATTAATGGAAATCATGTTATGGTTCAAATAGGGAGTGTCCCCCAAGAAAGTTTTGAGGTGAAATGATTGGGTTATGAGAATCTTAACCTAATCAATGCATTAATCTTGTAATAGGGATTAACTGGGTGGTAGCTGTGGGCAGGTAGAGTGTGGCTGGAAGAGGTAGATCCCTGGGAGCATAGATCCTTCTTCCTCTTCCTCTCCCTTTTCCTCTCCCTCTCTTTCCACCTCTCTCTCTCTCTCTCTCTCTCTCTCTCTCTCTCTCTCTCTCTCTCTCTCTTTCCTGAGCATGACCTGAGCAGCTTTCCTCCTCCACATTCTTCTGCCATGATGTTCTGCCTAACCTCAGGCCCTGAGGAATGGAATTGGCCATCTACAGGCTAAGACCTATAAAGTCGTCGTGAGCCACAAAATAAACTTTTCCTCTTCTAGAATGTTCTTGTCATATCTTTTGGTCACCGCAGTGAAAAACTGACTAAAACATCATTGTATATAGTATATATTAGTACGCTACTTCTTTTTCTACAAAAGAAAAAAGTGATAGACAAATAGAGGAACAAAAAGGATATATGATACATAGAAAATAAATAATAAAATGACAAATAAATCCTACCTTATCACAAGCTATATTAAATATAAATGCATTTAATAATGGGATCAAAAGCAGAGATTGACAAAATGTACTTTTTAATCAAGTGTTTTAATTGTAGATGGACACAACACCTTTATTTTGTTTATTTACTTTTTATGTGGTGCTGAGGATCGAACCCAGTGCATTACACATGCTAGGCAAGTGCTCTACCGCTGAGCTACAACACCAGCCCCGAAAAATGTACTTTTAAAAAAATAGATCCAACTACATGCTGTCTGCAGAGATAAACTTTAAATTCAAAAGTATATACAGGCTTGAGGTAAAGTTATGAAATCATGTAAACCATAACCAATAGAGTGCTGAGGATTATACTAATATCAGAAAAAAACAGACTTTTAAAAAGATTGCTAAAGACAAAGACAATGTTTAGTAATAACAATAATAATTGATCAGGAAAACAATAATTGTAAACTATATGCATCCAAAATAAGTCCCAAAAATACATGTAGAAAGTCTGATAGAATTGAAACAAGAAGTGGAAAATGTAATATTTATAATTGAAGATTTCAGTATTCCACTTTAAATAATGGATAAAGCAACAAGCCAGAAGATCATCAAGGAAATTAAAAAACTTGAACAATGCTTTAAACCAACGGGACTTAACATACCTATGGAATGAACACTCCCCCAAACAGGAGCAGAATAGACAAAATGCTCAATCACATGTGGAATATCATGCAGGAGAGACTATGATAGCCCCTTTAAAGTCTCAATAAAAAGAATTGAAGGTGGGCTGGGATTGTGGCTCAGTGGTAGAGCGCTCACCTAGCAAGTGCGAGGTCCTATGTTCGATCCTCAGCACCACATAAAAATAAATAAATAAAATAAAAGTATTGGGTCCAACAACTTCTAAAAAATAAATGTAAAAAAAAAAAAGAATTGAAGGCTTACAAAATATGTTTTCTGACCACAATGCAATTAAAATTTAAAAATCAACAACAGAAGGACATTTACAATTCATTGGAAATTAAACAACACATTCCTCAAAAGACCAAAGAGTTCAAGAAGAACTCAGAAAGGAAATGAGAATCTATTTTGAGAAAAAAAATTAAAATAAACTTGTACTTCCAGTGTCTCTCCCAGTGCACAATGTCTTGCATGCAGCAAACAATGACACAGTTTTATTGAGCTTGGTGGTTTTCTAATCTGGATCCCTTGCAGAGTTTTTAAAAATTCTGATTGCCCCAGCTGTACCCAAGGCTGGCTAGCTTAACATCTCTGAAGGTGAAGGCCAAGCTTTGGAATTATACAGTTTCC